GATCAGAATTTCAAGAAAATAAGAACGGCCAAACAACCAACCATTCATTGCGGATTGCATCTTGCGATGAAATATTCTTCAGATAATAATCTGTCATACGTTCATCGGATCGTGCCGTCTGTGACGGCGAAGTTATGGCGTTTTGAGCTTCCCGCAATTCCTCAAAGAATCGCATATGTGCATTATAATGAGCTGGGAATAGTCACACAAAAATTCTACTCAGCTTTTGAATAATATACAAGAAAGTAAATGAGCGTTAAAACATAGCATATACTTAAAAACAAACACAGAACACTTCAGAAATTTCACAAGAAAAATCGTACAATCTGGATTAGAAGCTTTCTTTGGGTAGTGGTGGAAAACGTACTCGTACTGAACACGTCGCTGAATAAAATTCAAAATTTCGCCTAAACGATCGTAACTTACAAATCAAAACAAGAGCTCACTTCTAATGAGATAACATTAATGTACCACAAAATAAAATTCGATTGCATGACTACCTTATGAAGGCACTGAAACATAGTCCACATAGCTTGAACAGAAACAGGTCTGAATAAGTGGTGATATGATTGATCAAAATCAATTGATATCCCACCATCGCCATCCAAACGAATATGCGTTGATGCATGAATCGGTATCACTACACCGATCCTGTAAGATTATTTACCAATGGCATGAATTTCTTTTGATAACGATGTTGTTGGCAACACTATCATCGAGCATTACAAATGTCATTCTCAATAATGACAAAGAACTATAATAAAAGAATTCTAATCTTCAAAGAACACGGTCAGCAAAAGACGCATACATGTTCTAATTTCGATTGCGCGGAGAACTTTCAAAATAAATGTATCAACTGAATTCTTCAAAGTTTCGCTTCAAATTTCACACACCTAAGTTTTAAGGCTATGAAGTGGTTTCGCTGACGCGAAGACAAAATTTTGGAGAACAATTCAACTCAGATGAAATGAAACGAAAACTGACGTTGCCTTCTCGTCATTAGTGATGCAGTCAAGTCCAAGTAGAACGCATTCTCGGATACTGAATGACAGATCCTTATCAGCACTATTACAATCGTCATTACGATTCAAGGAACAAGAAGCAGGGCGGAATGAAGACGTGACAACGGCAAGATATCTGGCATGATCTTGTGATAGCGATACCAATGATGAATAGGATGAAGTGGAACACGGGAATGAACAACATTCATCGAATTCATTATTGACTGATGCCGTCAAAGAGGATGTTGTTTGTAGACGAACAGCCATTGTGAGTGTGTGTTGAGGTGATATGATACGTAACATTGACTGCAGATGCTCCTCGATTTCATCTGAATTGAATCCAGTGACTGATTCATTAAGCTACCAAGTGTTTGCATGCAATCGACGACAACAACACTCGTTGTTACAGATTTCGTCGTCATAATATTAATCCATATTCTCTGGATAGGCGGACAAACGAAACTTCTTTTCTTCATTAAGTGAATGAATATTTTTTGTATTTCTCTGATCAATAACTCAGCAAACGATCAATTTCTGTGACTGTTTATTCAAAAACTTCACAGCCATGATAGAATTCGTTGCTGTTGCGACTGATCTTTATTTTCAGATGGCAATCGAGAAGCATTAACACTAATTGTTAGCAGTATCATTTCGACATTTAATCATCGGATGGAAATCAAAATTATAAAGGGAGTAGTTCGAGCAATAGTATCGCCAACCATTCGTAGAAGTTGGTACCGTATTAGTACGGTCATGATTCAGTAAAATCACTGCAGTTCCTTTAACGTAGAAGAAACATTCGCTTGAGGTAACACTTCTACATCGACGTGGTGATGATGAGTCGCATTCACTTATATCAACATCCTTCAATTTTACTGACTGTGTGCATTTAATGCCGATATACAGTATATTCAAAAATGAACGTAAATTATCAAAATTTTCCAATTTTCAATTATGAAAGTTTTCAAGATCATGGAAATATGAATAACGTTTACAACCCAAATTAAAAAATCACGTCTCAGTTCCTCAACTTTTTGGAGAATCAATGCCCTGGAATATAAGCAGACTTAAGAAAGGCCTAATATAATATCAAGTTTGAGGCTCAGGTTTTTATTCAGGTAGGTGCTCGGGGTAGTACGGTAAATACTTTCTTCACTCTTTTCTTTAGTTTATCAATTCTTATTTGATGCAAGATGCTCAATTGACGTATTCATTAGGAAAAAACACTTTTAGAACACTTCGTTTGTTCAGTACACAACTTTTTCTTGAGTAAACGCTGATAAGAAAAGTCACACACTCATAAATTATAAGACGACTTAACATTCGCCATACGTAACTGATTCGTATTTTCATTACTCTTACGATTAGTCATTATGTCAACATAATTAATGATTCGCTATATCAGTTAACAGCAATGAACTAATAAAAATGCTTTTATATGAATACAAATCGAAACTAATTTTTGAATTTGATCCTGAATAAATCAACTCTTGATCAAGGAAGGGAAAGTGGCAGTAAATTTAGGGTACAGGAGCACATACTTTTGACCATTTGTTTGCTTGCTTTCTCATCTTATTATTACCTATTCTTCAGATATATGTAACTGTAATGTTGAAGTGGTGATTAGAACAGAAATTATCTTGACTGATATTACTGTTACTGGTATTATTGTTGTTATAACCGAATAACATGAATAAAACTTACAGTTTCATCTAAGTCTGCATCCTCACTTGGAGTCGGAGAACGCTGTACGGTCACCAAAGACATTTCATACCGCCCTTGCTAAAAATTTCTACACCTTAGAGTAATATTTTTCTTGGCTTCGACCTAAATCAATATTCAAATTCAAAAGCAATCGATTCATCACAATTCGGTTTGGTGACATCAACTGAAAAGTAGAAAAAGAATGAACACTAAACTGGTACAGAATGCGAGATAAATTCGGAGAGGGATGATACATGTGTACACGATCATTGTATCAATTCGAGATTATTCTACTCATTTTTTGCACCATTTATGTATTAGTGTATCACAAAACGCTGAGGAGATTTTTGAAAATTTCAGCAACAGTGTTCTAACATTTTTTTACATCACCACATGCGAACACTATAAAATGTGTGCATACAAACAATATAAATTGCTACTGAAACTGATCAGTGGGTGGTTTTTGTGAAAATGTGGATTGTAATTGGTAATCTGAACAGAATCGGTTATTATATACGTATTCCGAAAGAATGATTCATTTCGAAGGATGAACGATTGTTTGAAAAAAGTAAAATAACCAAAGCACACAAATGATACGACGATACGATCAAATTACAGTTTTATCGTTACATTGTGTACGATTTTTGTAAATGAATGAAAGGTTATTGAAAAGGTATAGAAACAGATAGGGAAAAGATGAAAATGTTTTGAAGTGTGGCTGTTGACTGTTGTAATGATGTGTGTG